ATCCAGTGGGATGAGGGCTACGGAGTGGGCCCTGGGGGAACCTGCTCCCCACCCAGGCTTCTTTCCTCCAAGGCCTTCTGTTTGCAAGAGTTTCTACAAATCTTCGTGTTCCTCAGGATTTTTCTTCCATTTAACCTGCGATTTTCAAAATCTCAGAATGAGCACAGAATTGTAGAACAGCGGGGATGCAGTTGTGACAACTAAGGTTGATTCCATGCCTGTTTCTCTAACTGGAGAAGGACAGCTTGTTAAAAATACAGATTCCCAGGGCCGGGTGTAGCTCAATGGTAGAGCACTTGCTTAGCACCTGCAAGGCTTCGGGTTCACCTTGGGTGGCCCCCAGAAGCTTCCAGCTAATTGTCATGCAGATGGGCACAAAGGGAGAAACACTGTCCTTGCTACTACACTTTGAGGGCCGAGGGCCTCCGTTCATCCTGTCTGGCTGTTATGGTTTATTTCTGGATGTCCCTCCACAGCCTCAGACACTCAGAGGCGGGACTTTGGACTGTGACTTGCTGTTGGAGGTGGAGAGAAAAGGGTCACTTCGCTGTGGGCTGTATCTCCCTTCCCAGCTCCTCTCCTCTCTGCTCCCTGTGTACCATGAGGTGAGCAGCTCTTCCTCTGCCTGGCCCTGTGCCATGGCGTCCAGCCTCAGAGCCTCTGAACTGCAGCGTGAGTCGGAATAAACCTCTCCTTACTTAAATTGTGGGTGTCTGGTGTTTTGTCCCAGTAACAAGAAAATGATTCAGACACTAGTTGTGTCCCAGCCCGCGCAAAGCTCCCGATGCACCACAGTGGTCGCAGAGCTCTGTAGATCTGCCTTTGTGCACAGGTGTAACAAGGTAGCCTAAATCCTCCAGCCCCTAGAGTCACCACTCACTGTCCAAATCAGATAACACAAAGCCTCCCCCACATCTCTGTGTCTCTGGAAAGCCACTGTCCTTTCCAGCACTTCCAAGAATTCTGATAATGGGAGAAGGACCACCCCTTGAGATTGCCTCATTACCATTTCCATTTGCATCTTCCTTCAGTTGTCCCTTATCTCTGTCACATGACAAGGTTCTCATGAGTGACAGCTTTTACACATCACATGATGAAGAAAGGGATCTTTGTTTTCTGTAGGAAACAGAAAATAACTTTGAATTAAGTATCAGGCACCTCTGTCATAAAGTATGCCCAATATCTCAACCCAATGGAACTATTATCCACTGCTGTATTTGGGAGCTCCACCCACCCTGCACTGTGCACACCTTGCCTCCCCTCCTTCCTAGACCCCTCGTCCAGAGCCCAGCTGCACCAGAAAGGCTGATGGAGCAAAGTCTGCTGGGGCAGGTCTCCTCAGAGCACTGACAATATCTGTAAATATTGTGAGGGGTAATATTTCCCAAGCTACTTTTTGTAAACAGCCACAATAGTTTATTTACAATTGAACTCTTTATAAGATATTTACAAGACAACCAATTTTACAGAAATGGTATAAAAACTGAATTACAGCACAGAAGACAGCAGTATGAAATGGGCAGAAAACAAAGCTGAAGTAGACAGACAAGCAATTTCTCTTTAATTTCTTAACACTAGCTTACATTTTGTTCAAGAAAGAAACGAAGAACTGTTTTAGAACTGCAGTGCCTTCGATTGAAGACTGAACCTCACAGTGTTGTACCCTATGTAGGGAAGAATATGATTCATTTTCCCCCACACTCTAACACACTATAATTTCATTCTTCAAACTTTGCTTCACCCTCCTTCTCAACAAACCTCAACATCCACAAATCAAAAGAGAGCTGATTTAGAAGCAGGGACAATGAAATAAGAAGTCCTCAGGGAAAGGAGAGCCGAGGAAAAAGAATCCACTCGAGTTGGCCAGGTAGCACTTCATGGATTCCTGTCAGTCTAGCCAAAGTGCTGGGTCTGAGGAGTTCCTTGTGTAGGGTAAAAACCCAAAGGTTAAATTTACTAACCGACACCCAAAACTTTTTTAAAACCAAAAAGCTGCATTTAAACATAATCTCTTTACTGTGAATCGAGCTATTGGCCCACAGAAGTGAACCATGTTTGAAATCTTGCTAGAAGTGAGACCACTCATGTCCAGCTCCCTCTGAAGTTCCTGCCACGGGGCCTTGAGAGCAGGCCACAACCCAAACATTGTCCTCACCCCATCCTAGCAGAGAAAGCAACACAGGAGATTCTCTTCTAACTGAGCTCCATGAGAAATTCATGTCCTAAGAAGCATAATCCTCATGCTTTGACTTGAGCAATTCTGTAATCTCAACTATAGTAAGGAAAACGAGAAAATTCAATACTAGTTCATAAGAGAGACAAAGTTTGGCGTTTTTGCATCAATAGAAGTCATTTTTCAAGTGCAATAATATAAATATTCTACATGCATTATCCTGAATCACATACAATGTAAAAATTTAGTAGTAAATCTATATTTATATAATGTACATGTATAAAAATCCCCTAAGCATGTTCCTTTCAAGTCTTCATTTGAGGTATCACAAAATACTTGCTATGTTAGTAGTAGTTAGAAATACAAGCCAAACAATGTAACTCTCATAGCAATAGAGATTTATCACATAACTGGCTGCAGGTGTGGCTTGATCTAGACCTTAATGTTGTTCAATCACCTTCTTTGGTGCTACTTTTCTTGCTGCCTCCCTGGAAACTTCTGTCTACACAAAAGCCTGTACATGAATGTCATCATAGCTTTACTTACAATCAATTATTTATAATAAGCAAAAACCGGAGTCAAATCCGATGTCCTTCCAAGGCCAAATGGTTAAACAAGCTGAGAAGCACATTTAGGAGGTAAACTACTCAGGAATAAAAGAGAACGAGAAATCGATACATGCCACAACTCCAAGAAAGTACCTTGGATGCAGATAGCAACCTGGATGGGTCTGAAGGGATTTATGTGGAATGGAAATAAACCAAAGTCAAAAGGCTAACATACCATGTTTCTTTGCATTCAATATCCTTGAAATAACAAAATTATGGTGAATGGAGAGCAAGCTAGTGGCTGCTAAAGGCTGGGAAAGAAGGGCTGTGGCTACAAAACAATAACATGAGGGGGTCTGTTGGTGATGGAAATGCTCTCACCGTGACTATGGTGATAGCCATGAGGCTTCCTGCACAGGTGATAAATTTCTTTCTTTCTTTTTTTTTTTTTGGTACCAGGGATCGAACTCAGGTCCTTGCACCTGCAGAGCAGGCAGTGGAACCACTGAGCTAAATCCCTGGGCCTACAGGTGATATATTTCTTAGAGCTATGGACACGCTCACCCACACACAAACAAATGCATGTGTAATTGGTGGAAACCCAACAAGTTCTGCATGTTGTAACAGAGTTGATTTCTTGGTGTTGACACTGCACCTTAGTCAGGCAAGATGGTACTGCTCGGGGGACAGGAAGGTGGGCACACAGGCCCCCCCATGTATATAGTTTACATTTTCTTATAAATCTATAATTATTTCCCAAAGAAAGTTAAAAAAATTATACTACAGCACAAACATAAAAGAGTAAAACAGGCAGAGAAGCTGAGCCGGTCCCAGCACCCAGAAGGAAGCTCCCCCACCACCATCCCACGCTCCTAGGGCAGAGAAGGTGAGCTGCACAGGCACCAGAAGCACCCCCTCACCGTGGAAATGAGAAGACACATAAACAAGCCTCATAAACAGACTTCTGGATCACCTACAGCAACCCCAAAGGGAAATGAGATGGAACAATCTGATACTCAAC